ATAAGTATAGAAAAGTGTTCGCTTTCAGTGATAATGAATTAGGGAAGACTTTCTCCTGATTATCTAATTGTTCTCTGATCTAATGTGATGTCTTCAATAAATGAAAATTTTTAATACAGTATGCTTCTATTCTTCGTAAATATCCACAATCTTATCTATTTTGCAATTCTACTTGACTTGTTTACTTCCAAAAACGATCGTTTTTACTTAATCCGAATTTCCTCCATTCTTCTGTTAATGGTAAACACATGCAGTACATAGGTCATGAAGTGCAATACCCACTGAGAAAACATGATGATGATTTAAATTTATTTTTATTTTGAATTTCTATCAAAACTGCTATTTATATATGATTCAATTAACAATGTTACAAGTGAGAATTAAACTTTTGAAATTAATTTTAATTGCCATAGTTGCAATCAACTAAATTTTATTTATCAAAAATTAAATTGCATTAGGCCTACGTAAATATTTTTCACATTAACAGTGAACCATTCCAAGTTAAATTAGATCAGGATCATAACGATAGATCACATCAAATCAAAAATTAAAATTACTAATAAACTTAGGAGAATATACATCTTTTGTTTAAATTATGTAGTTATGTTAAACTAAATGACATACAAAAAGCAGTTAAATTGCATGTAGAAGTTTTTGAAATATTTAATACTAGTGCACTCTAGTCTAAAGTACTCTATCGTAATCTGTTTAGTGCAACCAATTTTCAACTCACAGTCTTTTTTTTTTTTTTTTTTTCGACCGACCGACCTTATTTTTTCAAAAAAAGTCTTGAAAAACAACTAATAAAAAAAAATGGCCTCAGGAGGATTTAATGTCGAATGGTTGAGAGAGAGGGCAAACAAAATCTTTTAATGATGGCTTGGATAAAATGCTTTTTAATACTTAAAAGTCTAGCTTCTAAACAGTTCATAATAAACTCATTTTCATAAAGATCTCAATTAAAGAAATATAGCTTATAACTTCACATTTTTTTTAAAACTGTAGCAGAATATAAAAATGTCAAAATCATATAAAACTTAGTTATCATTTATATTGTTAATGGTAACCAGTCTTTCAGATATGGTACAATTGTGCATTAATAATTGGCTGCAGCTCTCTCCATATGGGATAAATCCTGTCCCCTCACTGAGCTATTTTTAGCAGTTTCCCACTACACTTCCAGACAAGGTTCCGAATCTTAGTCCTCATTTTCCCGTTCCTCTGTCTTCAGGACAAAGTTTTTACAGTTTTCAGTTTTGACTTCTATCACAATCTCTGGTCGTGTTTCAGCATAAGACCTACTGGTATTTGTCTTTCCAAGTTCATCACTGTAACCGGTGGTATAAACTGGAAATACAGCTGATTTGTTTTCATCAAAGAGCACTGTAGAACTGACACCTGATGACTGACAAAGCGAATTCTCTTTTAAGTTTTTAGCCCTTTTTTCTGTAATCATTGTCTTTGTCCTCTTGATTGGCTTCAATTTTGCCCTCTTGGTCAGGCTCAGCTCCTCATTGCTACTGGATACTGACTTTGCCCTCTTAGTCAGTTCGTCATTGCTACTGGATTCTGATTTTGCCCTCTTAGTCAGTTCGTCATTGCTACTGGATACTGACTTTGCCCTCTTTGTAGATTCCTCATTGTCACTGGATACTGACTTTGCCCTCTTAATCAGTTCATCATTGCTACTGGATTCTGATTTTGCCCTCTTGGTCTGTTCCTCATTGTTATTGGATACTGACTTTGCCCTCTTTGTAGATTCCTCATTGTCACTGGATACTGACTTTGCCTTCTTTGTTGTTTCACTGCTGTTTTCAGATACTGATTTTGCCCTATTGATAGGCTCCTTTCCAATACCAGACACTGACTTTGTCCCCTGGGCTGGCTTCCTCCTGTTACCATGTTTTGTTTTTGCTCTCTTAGTTGGTTTCCTTCTGATACCAGATGTTGACTTTGCCGTCTTGACAGGTCCTTTACTGTTATTAGGTACTGACTTTGCCTTCTTACTTGGCTCCTCACTGCTACCAGTCATCGACTTTGCCCTCTTTTTCGATTCTCTACTTTTAACAGATATTGAGTTGGTCTTTTTGATCGGCTCTCTACATCTAACATTTGTTGTGCTAGTAAAAATGCTTTGAAAATCAGGCAAGGATTTCATGTAAATGGACTTTTTCTCTCTATCATATTGAAATCCAACACGAGAAAATGATTTTAGGGTTGACAAAGCCGATTGTATAGAATCTGGAGTATGACAGTTTGTGATACAACGCAAATTTATACCTATGTGTTTTCCAAACTGAACAACTCTTGAGGCTGCATTTGAAGTCAGTGAAATATTCCCTGAATAAATGAACTTCATAAAGTTGTTAACATCTGCAGTTGAGAATGTTAAAGCCTTAATTGTGTCTATGGTGTCAATGTAGAACCCATACATTCCCCACATGGCCAGGATGATTTTATGGGCATAAACTTCTCCATCAATGCACTGTATACAACAGTC